CTCCACCAGATGCACCATCAGTAGCCTCATTCGCTTTTACCTTTGCTATCTGCTCGGCAGTAGCCATACCCGCCTCATTGCCGGCTTTAAACCCTTCTTCATACTGCGCCTCGCCAAAAGTAATTCTCTCTTTTTCGCGACTGGCCATCTCCACAGCATGAGCCTCCTTAGGTCGAATTAACTCTGTTTGCTTCTCTAGTCGGTCCTTCCGAGTCTCTTGATGCTCGGACCTCTCTATCTGCAGTTTCGCCTCGCACTCCCACAACTGCTCTTCAAGAAGCTTAGCCTTGTGCTCGGGCAATGCCCATTGATCCGTCAACACGTGCACTTCGGTCTTCAATTTCTTGTTTTCTGCGGAGAAAGATTCAATTTCACTTTGAGCTCCGACGATCTGAGCCTCTTGCTTAGCCAATTTGTCCTTCAAAGTCGCCTCAGACTTCGTCGCTTCTTCTTTAAATGCAACCAGCATCTCATCACGTTTCTCGAGAGTTCTTTCTTTTCGTTGAGCTGGGCGGCATTCATACGGTAATCATCCTCCGGCATGATCAGAGAAACAAGAGCCCTCCCAAGGCAAGCCTTAGAGCGTAGCCCAGTTTGTGAACGCTCGGCATTGTCAATACTCCCATCTCAGTCGTCGAGTCCCAGGCCATCATTGGGACCCGAGCAGCATCCAAAACGTGGTCAGGTAGATTGGTTCTCGATGTAATGCGAGGAAGTCGAACAAATTGAAAGGTCTTATACCAATCCTCGACTATCCCCTTTGACAGATTGAAATTGGCCTCCCTCTCCTCATCAATCGAGAGGAAGGCTCGGTCTACAAGCGGCGACGTCTCGCCTTCCTTGCCCTCATCCTTATGACCTCGGTCATGTCTCTTTTTAGACCTCTCCTCGGCACCAGCTGAAGTTCCTTCAGGATATTTCTTCTTCAATTTTCTTTTCTTAGTCCGAGTCCCCTGTTCCTCCCTCGGGGTTTCAGTAATCGCAACGGTTTCTGCAACCTTTAGGACTTCCGTATCCTGAGGAATAGACAACGTTCAAACTAAAGCCAGCTTGGTATTTGTTGCCTCCGTCGGCATCCCAGAATTGGCATTTTCTACTTCAACGTTCGCAGCAATATTGTCGACCGGCGTCTCAATGACCGGAGGACGCTCCGGGCTTTCCAGATTGACTACCGAAGTCGCACCAGCTCCGACTTCAGTAGCCTGACGCCCCGCGACGCCTTTGCGAAAAGGCGTAACCAAGTTCCTTCTCATCGTATCTGCCAGTCTTTGTTCTCGGCTCTTTCCGACTTTGGATAACAGTTCTTTATTCGGATATTGTCTTCGAAAGTCCTTTGCCTCCGCGATACTACCGTACCCCGAATAACCGAGAAGAGGGTAAAACACTGTTTATCATTACAAAGAGTTATGTGATGTGTAAACACAAGCCGCCTAATAAAATTTGCAATTCGAAAACCCGTAAAGCGTACCGGGGTCAAAGGAAGCGATCAAATCAGCTGATTTCACCGTTAAGCCCGCTGCTTCAAGCCTTGATTCTTCAATCAGAACTTTACAGCTCCGATCTTTCTTTTCGATCTGAAAAAGCTCCAGTAACCGACCTCCAAATTTTGGACTCAACTTTGGCTCTCTTTTTCTTTTCGCTACACACAGGAAAATTGCCAACCTGTTAGTATATGAAACAACAAATGATCAGGAAAAAATCAACAAAATTTTACAAAGCTTACAATATTCAGAAACAATTTTCATAGGAATTGTCATCCCCTCGATGAGAGGCCCGTGAACTCTGGCGTCGGATTGCCAGTCACCTCCGACCCAAAGCCATTCCTCTTGAAAACCGTGAAGAGTATCTGGGACTTCATTAATCAGCTCGCTAATCTTAAAATCCTTCTGTGGTCCCCCTCCGGCAAAGAAACAACAAGAGGATTCAGCCACTTTTCGCCTCGGACTTCTCTTAAACGAGTAGATGCTCCTAATATCATCTCGAGAAGGAGCTCCCCACTCCTTCTCGCTCATGAGCACCATCAACCCTATAATTCTTTTCCAGCTGTTAGGCGTGATTTGACAAATACTCAAACCCCAGTCGCGAAGGTATTCGGTGATCATGTTCGGAAGAGGAAATCTCAGCCCCGACCTCAAACTGTCAGCAAACACACCCACACAACCCGGTGGAGGGCAAGTAATCCTCTCACTGGGGTAAGGCGAGAAAAGCTTAACTGAAGAGGGGACCCGAATCTGTTCTCTGAGGAGAATCACATCGGCATCCGTCAAGATGCTCGGTTCTCCCCAGTAATCGACTTTTATGTCCGGCCATACCCTGATTGGTCGTCTCCACGCGTTCGCTACCGACATCGCCCTCTTTTCCGTTTTCTCATCCTCTTCATTACTATTCAGTTCAATCTTGAGATGTTCCACGAGCATCGGGTCCCACCGATAGTACTCGAACAGTAGCTCTACCAATTCGGTGTCATAAATCTCCATTCCCTCAGATATTGTTCTGCTACTAGACGTTTCCTCGTTCCTTATCGATGAAATCATATCGCGAAGAAAAAAGTATACGGTGCAAGAAAAATGATATTAAATAGCGATTATTGAAAGTGCAGCTTACCCTCAAAATGACGAGCAAGATGGAACCGGAAACGAGAATCGATTAAGCACTGAAATGGTAAATGGAGTTATGAGCATCAAAAGCAATAATCACGAATAAAATGCAAAGGTGAAAGCCTAAAAAATTTCTAAGTCCCGTTTTTTATACTGACAAATACGACCGTTACTGTGCCAATTGAGGGCGCGTGAAACACGCATACGACCCTCGAGTGACGCGACTTTTCGCTTTTACTGTTTCTGTGCAATATCTAAGTGCCACGTGTTAGTCTACACGTATATTCGTTACACCTTATCAATGCTAGTGCATCTTTTCACAAACCGTCGCGTTAAAGACTGGTCTGTAGCCGTTGCGACATTTCCTCCTCCATCCATAACTTATTTTTACTGGAACATGAAAATCACTATTTCGCCAAGTGTTGGCACTTCGGAACACAGTGACAGTAAAGAAAACCGACATCACAACTTATTCCCAAGTCGGCTTCGATGAAACTCTTGGACGACGCCAGCAGCTATCACTTTCGTATAACTACCGGCGTCGGAGGCCTCTCTGTTGACCACCGACTTGGTAACTCGTAGATTAGTTCAAAGTACATCAGCTAGCGATAAGTACAATCGTAATGACGTAATGACAACAAGGTTAGGAAAGAGATATCGACGTCAGCTGGCACCGGAGGCAGACAAGTAAACACACGACGACAGGACACACACCTTCTCACTGACATACAAGCTACCCAAAGCCCCCTTTCTAAGCCATTTCCGACTTTAGACTAAAACCGACTTCCCAAAAACCCTGCCATCATCTGCCGACGCCAAGGTCCACTTCGGCAGAGGTCGGGTTTGCTGGTATCAAAGCAAGTGACCAGGCACCTACGTGACCTTCTAAAGTTTCGTGCCCAACGTCATGATAATCGTAGGCCCGACCGTCTTGACCACCCAAATAAAGCTACTTTTTGTCTAAATCTCGAATTATTGGGAATCTCGAATAGTGTGTAACAGAAAAGTTACTATATATAGCCCGAAATTCCCTCAGTGAAAAAAAAGGAGAACTTTTTTCCATCCTGATTACAGACACACCGACCATATATCAATTAATAAAATTCCTGAATTACCACTACTTATCGCCTTGGATTATATAATCTTTATGTTGGTGATGTTGTTACGAAATCATACGACAACAGAAGTAATTGAGTTTAAGTAATTCAAATTATAGGATTCGCAAAACATTATGTCTGTGACGAATGTTAAGATAATCTAAACAAGACCTGATCATGCATCTTGCATGCTATAACTCTAGAAGGGTTCGTTGAGGACTAGTAAGAAAAAGTTGAACTCGATTTCAAGTTTAGATGAGCTCGTACGAGCCTGCGACGCACGGACGCGCAGCTGGCTGCGACTAGGGGTGTGCATAGTTCGACTAAAACCGAAATAACCGACCGAAATAAAAATATCAGTTCGATTTTTATCCGATTCGGTCGGTTTTCGATTTTAGTTGTATATTTTTTCGGTTATTTTGGTCGGTATCGGTTTTCGGACACGAAATGTCCGAAATAACCAAACCGATCGATATATATATTTAATATTGTAATATAAATTATATAATATTAACCCTAAAGAAATTGGAAAGTAGCCGTCACGTCTCTCCCATTTGAAATGTTGTTGTAAATTTTGAATTGATGTAAAAGTTCGGTTAACCGACCATACCGACCAAAAGTTTCAGTTCGATTAAAAATCGGTTTTAATTCCACATTTCGGTCGATTCGGTTTTTGAAAAATTGCGAGTCGGTTAGTTCGATTTAGTGTTCGGTCGATCGAACCGACCGATGAACACCCCTAGCTGCGGCCAACGGAGGGTCTCGACCCTTGATCACCATATGGTGTCTTTTGATCTCTAGATGCGTCCGTTCTCGTTCGGGTACATCCCAAAACGTGTTTTTGACACTTAAACTCTTGGAGATGTTATCCTACATCTATTAATACCCACATACATGAAATCATTAATGACTAGAAAACAAGAGTCCTTGCATTATATTTTTAAAGTTCATAAAACATATTGTGTTTTTTGATTATTTTCGTTGAGTCTTGAGAGTTCCAAAGAATAGTATTATTCGCCGAAGGCATGTACATTTGAAATACCGCTATATACTGTATACAAGTCGAAAATCATTGTATCTTGAAGACGTTTGCCATTAACCGTAGGTATTTTACGAGACAATATCATTTTAAAGAGAATATAACTATTATGTGCCTCGACTTTAATTTTAATTTTATCTTTTTCATTCTCCATAAGCCATCGTCTTAATATTCGCATTCCAAGTCCAACTACATTCTCAACTTTTACAAGGCAAATAATTCCAACGAAAGTGGAGATTTTTTTGTTCCCACAGCAAAATGCTCCATCAAAAAGTCACACTATTCATGGATTTTCATTTTCCACCCTGTCCGTCCTCGTGAAAAAAGATTATTAGAGAAGCCACTAGAGATGAACTTTGTTGGGTTGTGTTGCACTGCACCGAGTAGATAAGAAAGGCGATAAAATTAAAAAATAAAAAATATCGGAAAAGAACCAAAAGTTGTGGCTGCAAATTGCTCTTGGTTTTTCATACAGCCCCACTACCTTAACCAATCGCATTCACTCCCCTGTTTTTCTCCACTCTCAACTTAAAGGGTTTTGTTTAAGCTGCACTAGCCCGTTAAGACAATCGTATTAACTTCAGGCGAATCAAGATTTACTCATCAAGGAATTAAATTCGCTAAAAATCACTCACACAAATAAAAGAAGAAGAAAGCTACTGGTCGGTTATCTCTTTATTGTCATGAATTGCAGCTAACGTGCAATTTTCAGGATCGGCGAGCACAGAAAATCTCAAAAAGACTAAATTTTGACGTCTAGATAGCAGAATTTTGTGATTGGTTCTGTGGGTGTGCGCGATTACTCTCTTGATTGGTCTTTTCTTTTAAAAAAAAAAAATTAAAATCTTTTAGAGATTGATGGGGACTTCTGGAGGTGGGTGCAGTATAGTATGGTTTAGGAGAGATCTTAGGGTGGAGGACAATCCAGCTTTAGCTGCAGGTGTTAGGGCAGGTGCAGTTGTGCCAGTATTTATATGGGCACCTGAAGAGGAAGGACACTATTATCCTGGTAGGGTTTCCAGATGGTGGCTTAAGCATAGCTTATCACATCTTGATACCTCTTTGAGGAGCCTTGGTACATCACTTGTCACAAAGAGATCCTCTGATAGTGTATCCTCACTTCTTGAGGTCATCAAGTTGACTGGAGCTAAGCAGCTGTTCTTCAATCATTTATATGGTCAGTTCTTTTATCTGTGTGAAAAAAATATGTATAATCTTGAATGATTGACTGTTTTGAGTTTTGAGGATGTGTGTATGTGTTCATCGTTCTTTTTTTAACAAAACAAATCATTACTTTATGCATTTGTTATAGGTGGTGCTCATGTTTTTGCGAGTGATAGATTAGTCAAACATAGTACAGTGGATTGTGATTATTTTTTTCTTTGCTATTCTTTGACAAATTATGCTTTAACTGGATGGTAATACTGAAAGCTATTCCGTTTTTAACTTAAACTATGTTTTCCTTATTTTTGGTGGACAATGTTTGGGGTTTTGCAATGTTGAATATTGGATTTGTTAATTAGGCTTTTTTTTATTTGGCTGTCCTATGATATCACATTGCATGTGATATGGTAGCTGCTTCTTCTAAACAGAAAAAATGCATAATTTTGTCGAGCATGTTCGTGTTGTGGCAGACTCGTGATGTTTTCTTTTGTGTCTAATTTTAGATCCTATATCACTGGTGAGGGATCACCGTGCAAAGGAAGTCTTAACAGCTGAAGGTATAGCCGTTCGTTCTTTCAATGCTGACCTGCTTTACGAGCCTTGGGAAGTTCTTGATCCGGATAGCCAGCCCTTCTCGACTTTTGCTGGATTCTGGGAGAGATGCCTTAGCATGCCATACGATCCTGAAGCTCCACTCCTCCCACCTAAAAGAATTATTTCTGGTACTGTTGATTTATCACTTTTTTTTTAGATTCATAGTTCTATTCTAGCATTATCCCTTCTCCTCCTCAGAAGAAGTTGGTTGTACTAAAATTTCTACTTCATGATATTCTTTCGTTATTTATTCTGATCTAAGTTCTTGGATGAAATGTACAGTTACAGTGGAAAATCTTGGTTCTGCTTTAAAAAGATGCTTTGTTGTTGTGCATTCATGAACATATTTAGGAGTGGCTGATGAAAAATTACTGGAGTAGTTATGAAACATTCTCTGGGGTTAAAGCTCTTAGCGCAAATATTATAATTTTCCATATGTAAGAGTCTCAACTAACGCATGGTCTTCACTCATTTGATGCATTTCCAGCAAAGAGTTTCACGGCTAGCGTGATATCTTGTTACGAATATCATTCATTCCCATAGAGTGTTACATTTTTTTGCTAGCAATCCAGTTGATATTAAGGGCGAATACAACACATCATGACCTCAAAATCCTTTCGCTTCTCTTTTCATACACATCACGATTCTACCTATTCTCATCTATATAACTTAGCATCAAGTTTTCTAGCAGGAATACTCACATCTCAATAATTGTACACCAATCAAAGGTTAATTAATTACCTCTGTTCTGTTATAATAAAAAAATGTTAATTACCAGGCGACATCTCGAGATGCAATCCAGACGCCCTATCCTTCGAGGACGAATCCGAGAAAGGCAGCAATGCTCTCCTTGCTCGGGCCTGGTCTCCGGGCTGGAGCAACGCTGACCGGGCCCTAACCGCCTTCATAAACGGGCCTCTCCTCGAATACTCCAAAAACCGGCGCAAAGCCGACAGCGCCACAACCTCCTTCCTCTCCCCACACCTTCATTTCGGCGAGGTGAGTGTCCGGAAGGTCTTCCACCTCGTACGCATCAAACAAGTCCTGTGGGCAAACGAGGGAAATCGAGCAGGCGAAGACAGCGTGAACTTGTTCCTCAAAAGCATTGGGCTGAGGGAGTATTCGAGGTATATAAGCTTCAATCACCCGCACAGCCACGAGCAGCCGTTGCTTGGGCATTTGAGGTTTTTCCCGTGGGTTATTGATGAAGGGTATTTTAAGGCGTGGAGGCAGGGGAGGACTGGTTACCCGTTGGTGGATGCGGGGATGAGGGAGCTGTGGGCTACGGGGTGGCTGCACGATAGGATAAGGGTTGTTGTGTCGAGTTTTTTTGTGAAAGTTCTGCAGTTGCCTTGGAGGTGGGGGATGAAGTATTTTTGGGACACGCTGCTTGATGCGGACCTCGAGAGTGATGCGCTTGGCTGGCAGTATATATCGGGGACGCTTCCAGATGGGCGTGAGTTTGACCGTATTGATAATCCACAGGTATGTTTTCGTGTTATTTCTGGA